GGGGGGGGGGGGTACTTGACGATGTTATATCTATCATTACTCCCTGCGCATGGAGAATGCACCCCAGTGAGGCCTGAATGCTGCGAGGATGAGCAAAGCGTGATGCATGTATTTTGCCTGTTGTTTTGTAATGGAAGAAAAAAACTGGACAAGAAAAGGCGCTTAACGATTAACTCAGCGACACCGCGCGTCTCCGAATACGGTTGTGGTTAAATTAAATGAGGAAATGTTTTGGGCGAGGAAAAGAGAAAAAGGAAACAAAAAGAAGTGGATGTGGACCGAAGAATAAATGAGTGAAATGTTTCATGCATCCAGAGGGAAGGAGCACAAATGCAGTTTATGGCAAAAAAAAAAAAAAGGGGGGGAGGAAGTTTTTGTTGTTATTTAACTTTGTTTTTTTTTCTCTCTCCACATATATATATCCACTGATTTTTCGTGTGTGTCTGTGTGTGTAGAAAGGAAAGAAGCGAGGGCAGAGGAAAAAATAAATAAATGGCTCGGCGGCAGCGTGTGCCACGCCACAAGGAGCACGGGCGGAGGCGCAACAAGAACCCGAAGTTGTCCCCATTCCAGCGGGAGCAGAGGCGCAATAAGATGGCCAACCAGCCCCCGGTGTCATTAGGCAAGAATGGCAGCCAGCGTGATTACCCCATCAGTCAGAGGGCGGTGATGAAATTCCTCATGGCAAAGCAGAAGCGGCTGCAGGAAAGGCACCAGCAGCGACACGAGGAGCAGCAGAAGAAAGAAATAGGGGAGCATCAACAGAAGCAAACGAAAAAAACAACAGGCAATGGGAAATTGTGTGAAGACAACGGGGAGGTTTCCCCTTCTCCCGCCACCCACTCATCCATGGCTACCGCTGCTGTGGAGGCGGTGGTGGGGAAGAAGAAACACCATGCGAAGAAAGCGAAGAAGACGTCACTCACAGCACCCGTGGCACTCAATGAGGAAATGGCTGCATCCCTTGCACGCCCCATCATGGCCTTTAAGACGCTGGCGGAGGGGGAGAGGGGGGAAGCGGAAAACGCAGTGGAGGCCATCATTTCAAGAAAGAAGGAAAGGAAGCATCGGAAGAAGGCAGAAGCCCGGCGGGAGCGAGTGAGGGAAGTACTCCGCGAGACGGAAGAGCAGCTGAGAGAAGAAGTTCTTTCCAGCAAAGGTGGGAAGAAGCGGAGGAGGGAACATCCGGTTGACGCCAAGGATGCCGCCTTCGAGAAGAAGCTAAAGCAGATGCAGAAGGAAAAGGCAGAGGTGGCGGTGGCGGCTGAAAAACGTGTTGCGGGGGAAAACATTAAACAAGACCGCAGCGAAACTGAGAGCCAGAAAAGAAAACGCAAGCGGATCACGTTCTTAGATGACGGTGCAAAAGGGGGTGTGGATGCCCCTCACAGTGCGATGCGTTACCCGAACGACAAGGGCGCTAAAGTGCCCCGTGACTTCTGTGAGTTGGTGGATGTTGTACGGTTCGGCGAACGCGTGGAGGCTCCTCCTGTTTTTGACGTTATTCCGCGTCACGACGCCTCTATCACACGTCTTGCCAACCGAATGGAATCCTCCTCTAGGAATTTCCTCAAGGGCGGAGTTGCGTCGTCGCAGAAGGAACGTTTGCAGATGTTGTCATCGGTTGGTGGGGTGGGAGAAGAAAGGCGACTTGAGCGTCTCGGCCTGGGGCCTGTTAGCACTTCTGCGGCTGCGGCCCGCCGCACAGGCGCGCCCAAGAAGCTTTCTAAGGAGGAAGAGATGCGGCGCTTGCGTGAGGCTGTCATGGAAGCATACCGCCGCAAGAAGCGTATAGGGGCGGAGGCACGGAAGGGGGTGGACATGCATCATCAATTCCCGATATTCTCATGAGCGGTCCATTATTATTATTATTTTGGTTTAATTTCTCTCCTTGGGTCTATTTTGCCGCCTCAAACTTTTGCCTGGGCGTTCTTCCTTTTCTGGATATCTTTGTTGTTGTTCTTGTTGTTGTTGTTTTTTCTTGCAGTGATGGTGGCTGCCTTCCTGCTTCTTTCGTGGTTGCGTCTCTGTGTCAAAGGCGGGCATATCACCACTGGGATGAGGAGAGAGAGAGAGAGAGAGAGAAGAAAAGAGAGAAATTTTTCTCTTTTCTTTTATTTTTGTTGTTGTTGTTGTTGTTGTTAAGTGCAAGATAAATTTTCCGCGTAAGATACATACATATATACATACATATATACATATACATATATATATATATGTGCTCTCCCTCTCTATTTACCCTCACATTGTATTTCATCACACGTGTGAGGTTTATTTAATGTCGGTACACGGTGCGGTGGTGATTCCCTTCACTTCCGTTGCGGTTTATTATTATTTTTATTATTATTATTATTATTATTATTATTTTTATTTCTCTCTTTCTTTCAATTTGATAGACTTTTTTTGCGTTGCCACGGCGCCCTCCACATACACACATAAGCACAGAGGCACGGTGGACAAGCTGGGGGAGGGGGGAAAAAAATTTGTCGAGGCGCTGACGGAAACGTCACTCAAACAAATCAAAAGAGATAACGTGTGGACAGTTGGTGTTGTGTATTTACAAAAAAAACCAAAAAATAAAAATAAACAAAAAATATTTGTCCGATTTAAATTTGGAAAGGAACAAAATAAAGAAAACTTTTATTTATGGAACGTCATTGGCATGAGGTGCTTATCCAGAACGATGAGGCGGACCGATATTTTGCCACCGCTGCCCCGCTGCTTGTAAAGGCACTTCGTTTGATTGCATCTGTGCGGGCGTTGCCACTGGCACTAAATGTCGCATGGTGGGAATCTGAAATTGCCCATGTTGATGACTCGCGTCTCGTGCACCGCAAGGCCCGCGAGCAGGCACGGAAGCTACGCGAAATATTAACGCCGCAATTGGAGTCTATCTACGGCTCTCTCTCGCATCTGCAAAGTGCAAGGGTGGAGTCGCAGCATTCCCACTCCCTTTTACGCTGCCACGAAGGTTTAATTGCGCCACGCGACATGACGATGGACACCCTTTTGGAGTCGCAGCCGGTTTTTGACTACAAAAACTTCCGTGCACAGTTTGAGGGACTTTGCCAGGTGATGGCCAACTCATTGCTCTTCTCCGCCTGTGAGCCCCGCATCAAAGTGCTGCAGAGTCGCTATCGTCTGTATCGTGCCTTTAATGGCGTGCGTGAGGATGATTTTCATCCAACACTCGGTGGAGGGAGCTACGATCGCGCCCCGAAACTTGACGTGCGACGCATTGGAAGCTGCATGTCGGCGAAAACATTGGTGGAGTTCATGCAGCAGACGCTAGAGGAGGAGCCGGAAATGGTTCTTCCTGCACGTGACGCAATTTCACCCTTGAGTTTGGGAGCCAAAAAAATTCGTGTAGAGCCGGAGGGTCTGCAGTCGGTAAATGATGGAGTTGGGAATCTTCATGAGGATCACGAGGAGCGTGACCCCACATTAAAGGAACTGGTGGACATTTTCTTTGGCCCCTCTCTTCCACCGGAGGAACGGTATTTTGCGGCGGATGGCTTAGGATTGCTTCCCAACTACGCGGAGACGACAGGACGCAGTTTGGATGGCTTTGAAAAACGAAATGCGACGCAGTCTGCTAGTGCTCGTGCTATGCCACTGCTTAAACACTTTCTTGATATTTATGCCGGTAACAGGGGCGAATTACTTGCACGACTCGTAATGCCGATGTTGTCCAGAATTGTGACGAGGGAACAGACGATGTTGGAGATGGAGTTCACAGCCACAGGGCGTGTCCCTGGAGAGGTGCAACACATTGCATCGTGGTGTGTTCGCTGTGGATTAGTCGCAACTAAAAAAGTGCAATTGGCCCTGCGAATTGTGCAGGAACCACTTTCTGCAGGGGAGGTTGAAGGCACCGCCGAGAACATGGAAGATGTATTAAAAAATATATTTGTTCCCATCTGGATGGCTCTTCTGCAGCCACAGGATCATTCGGACATGGTGCAATTTCTTCAGCAACTGGCTTCCGTGGTGGTGGTGGTGAGTGGCGACGCTGATGTGCAGGAAATGCCGGCGGTGAATGACCCCAAGAAGTATTCCGTGGAAAGTGGTGTGGCGCCGCCGGATGCCTTTTTCATCTATCATGTCTGGCGGAATGTTCAGCTGTTAAATTGTTTGGCTGTTGCCCACCTCTTCTTTGCCTCCGATCGGCGGGAACCCGAAGGGGCAACAGAGGGAGACGCCGTGAACGCCGGTTATTTCTTGCCAGGACAATCGCTCTTTTTGCACCACAGCCCCGTTTTGACACGGCCTCTCCGTTTTCGTGTGTGCACCTCAGCCACAAGCAAAAACTCCTTTATGGAAAGTGTCATGGGGTTACTCGTTGCCGATGAAGTAATGAACCCGGTCGATGTATTTAACTGGAGCCCATTGGCGTACTTGTACTACTTGACGCAGCGCCGCATTGTTGTTACGCCAGCACGAAACGACATTAGTCCCTTGGATTCTGCTGTGCAGAAAGAAATACTGTTTATGGTTGAGACAGGCCTTAACGGCTCGGTTGCCACACTTGACCCACTGCATTATAATACAACGGACAACGCCCTTTGCGAGACGTTGAATGGACTACAGAAGAGCTGCCGTCTTGCCCTTGCCGAGATTACAGAGCTTTGCCTTCGATCTGCCGAGCATGCTAACTGGGGAATGAAGCAGAGGTGTGAAATGTTTGGTGGGCCATGGGAAAGGGTGTCTACACGGTACAGTGAGTTTACGAAAACGCAGGTGAACCCCTTAAGGCTGCTTTTTCGGGAATCGTCGCTGGCCCATGAAGTAGACCTTCTTTGTCGAAAAGGCCTGAAAGAGGAATCCAGTTTTTTGGTCATGAGCAGAGAAGAGGAAGAGGGACAAAAAGCTTTATTTTCTGGATTCACACAGGTGAGGAATGCCTCTTCCAACTTTGGAGGGTTTTTACCAACGTCAAAAACGCTGGCGGCGCAACGTGAAACATTGTGGCGTTTCTTTAAGGTGCCACATTACAACCCGCCTGACAACGTTGAGTGCGGCGGGACGTGGTGGGATTTTGTGGATCGTCAGATTGAGTACCCACGCATCATTATTTCAGGCCCCGAAATTACGGACAAATCTCAGGAAGCCCGGGCGATCACAAGAGAGTTTAACCGACGTCAATATTACCGGAGTTTCAACGTACATTGTGAAATTCCCCCGACGGAGGAGATGCAGGCTGCCCAAGCGGTGCATACACTAATTGCATTGCATTCTGTCAACAGGTCCAACAATGAGACGCAGCCCATGCATGGGGTGCATTTCTCCTCCAATACGTTTTCACCCTTGATGAAACCTGAAACACTTAAAATGATGCCAGAGAAGTTTTCTTTTCGAGATGGAGTATTGGATGTGGTTCTTCCCGCAGATGCCAATGAAACGACGAGGGTGTACTTTCGACCTTTACCAACATGGAAGGAGTTTCAGCTGGATGTCCGAAGACTGCGTCGACTGTCACACGAACGTGCGGTGCAACTTTATGCAACAAAACGGTTAGAAATGCTGGAGTGCAAGTTTAACCTCCATGTTGCTCTCACAAACGATGATCAGGAGAATCACGCCCGTGATGCGCCTGTGCTGTTTGAGAAGGGTGATCTGTACAAGTGTGTCAAGGTGGATGTGCATTGTCACATGGCAGCCGGAATGACGGCGAAGGAACTTTTGAGTTGCATCAAGGAAAAGGTTCAAAAACACGCGGATGATGTGGTGGATGTTGAACGTGGGACCGGTCGGTTTGTTACACTTGGAGAGTTGTTTACAAAACTGCGAACTTCTCCAGTGCAGGGGGCCGCTGTCAATTTGGAGGATCTTACGGTCGCCTCACTTAAAGTCAAGGCGGGGAAAGGTACCTTTAACCGCTTTGATGAGTTTAATGGTCGTTACAATCCATTTGGTAACTCTGCACTCCGCACCCTTTTTCTAAAGACGGATAACTTCATGGGTGGTCGTTATTTTGCGGAATTGATACGTCAGACATTTCGTCGTCAGGCCGAGGACGGCCATGTCTTTTCGGAGTATCGTCTCTCCATCTACGGTCGACAGCGTCATGAGTGGGACCAGCTGGCGCGTTGGATGGTTTTGAATCACGTGTCGCACTCTACAAATCGTTGGATGGTGCAAATACCGCGGCTTTACTTTATTTACCGCAAGAATGGCATCATCTCCTCCTTTGAAGAGATGCTGTCGAACATATTTGCACCGCTGTGGGAGGCGTCCATGCATCCAGAGGCGCACCCTTTTCTAAGTTACTTTCTCGCACACATCAGTGGGTTTGACATTGTTGACAACGAAAGTGAGCGCGAGCCGGACACCCTCATTGAGACCCCACCATCCCAATGGACCGTCCTTGATAACCCGCCCTTTACATATTGGGTGTATTACATGTGGGCGAATATCACTGCACTGAATCGCTACCGTGCAGCACGGGGGTTCTCCACCTTTACATTTCGTCCACATGCGGGAGAGAGTGGAGATCCGGATCATATGGCGGATGTGTTTTTTGTTGTCGATGGGGTAAATCACGGCATTAACCTTAAGAGGTCACCTGTTCTGCAGTATTTATACTATCTGGCACAAATTCCTCTCGGTATTACACCCCTATCAAACAATGCGCTCTTTTGCAAATATCGTGACAATCCATTTCCCATATTCTTCCGGCGTGGACTCAATGTGGCACTCGCCACAGACGGAGCTCTCATCTTCCACCACACCGAGCAACCACTGATTGAGGAGTACAGCACAGCAGCAAATTTTTGGAATCTTTCCATGGCAGATGTGTGTGAGATTGCCAAGAATAGCGTGATGATGTCTGGATTCCCATCGTATCGAAAGAAGGCCTGGTTGGGAATCTTGTGCGAACTGCGCAGTGCGGCCGGCAACGATGTGCGCCTGTCAAGGGTGCCACATTCACGGTGCACATTCCGGTATGAAGTGTACATGGAGGAACTTAGCCACCTGCAGAGAAAAGCCGCGTTGGACATTCCACTGAAGCCGATTATGGATGCGCAACTGGAAGGACTTTGCACGATGGACGTGGTTGGCCTCACACGCGAGCAGGTCATTGAGCGGCGCTTGAATGGCCAACCCATTGTGGCGGATACAGATACTGAGGCTGATAAACAACAAAAGGTCCATGACACTCAAATGGTCCTTGTGCGACTTGGTCCACGCATCACTGCGCCTTCACGACTATGACAACGTGTTGTTCTTGCTGCTGCTGTTTTTTTTTTTTTTTCTTTTTTTTTTTCACAACTTTTCTATTATGCGTACGACTCTTTTGTTGTTGTTGTTTGTTTGTTTCTCTCCGCCTGCTGATTAAAGTAGAGGAACATTTATGCATTTACTCTGCGTGTGCATGGATGAGTCGATGTGTGTGTGTGTGTGTGTGTGTGTGTGTGTGTGTGTGTGTGTGTGTGTGTGTGTGTGTGTGTTTATTTTTCCTCTTTGCTGCTTCTTTTTTGTCCATGCTCTCTGCGACTTCTTTGCCTCTTCCCTTCTTGCAGATTCTCTCAATCGTGTGTTTTGCTGGGGTGTAAGGAAGCAGAGGAAGAGAAGCAGGAGGAGGGAAAGGTTACAAAAAGACGAGAAGGGAGAGACTGAAATTAACGACAAACGAAGGGTGGTGGAAACAGTGACGACACCAACGTGCGGCAAAAACAAAGAAGAAGAAGAGGGAGGCAGTAAATAAACACACTAAAAAGAAAGAAGAGGAAAGATAAAAAAGGGGCAACATGCGTCGGTCCTCTACAGTCATGCCGCTGCTTTCTGGCAGCCGCGGTTACCGCGTTGGGTGGCGAAATGCCCTGTTGGCATCCGCGTGGAGTGTTTTCCCAGCCGTGTTTGCTCAAACGGCCATGGAGAGTCGCGCCCTCCAGGCCGTCCCGTTAATTAAAAGCCCCAGGGGTACGAATAAAAATGAAGGCCGTTCCATGGGGCGCCCGTCGATCTCCGGCGGTGACAATGCAACCAGGCTGTTTCTCCGTCGAGGCCGAACCACGAGGCAAGCGCCCGATGTTCCGCGTGAGGCGGATGCTGAGGGAGAATTTCAGACGGGCGTCTCGAGTAAAACCGGGGTGTCTGAGAACAAAATTCTTCGTGCGTTTGACCGCTGGGCTGAGAGAAGCGGTGGGTGCAGTGCCAATGAGTTCCTTCAAGGTGTGCATCAATCGTACTACGGTCTTGGTGTGCTCTGCGAGACACTTGCAGAGGCGGCAAAGCCACAGTTACCCCTTGGCAAGATTGTTCCCTTTGCGGGTGCTCTTGCACAGCTGAAGGGACTTTTGACCAAGCAGTACGCCATTAGCCCAAAGGGTCTTGCCGATGAGGTGAAGGCGGTTGCGGCAAAGTCAGGGAAAGAGGGACTCCGAACCTCAAAAGTAGTAGCGGAGGCATTGGCGCAAATCATCCCCATCTCCCTCGAACTTGCCGAGAACATGTACAACATGTGGAACAAGCAGCGGATATTTGACTCCAACGTACTCCGTATTGCTGCAACAAATGATTATATTCTGTCAACAAAAATGATTTTTTTCCATGAATGTCATAATATGAAAGAGGTTCACTTTTGCGATGATACCCAGCTGTCGGTCATAGTCGTTCCCCCGCCAGCTAACGCGGGGGAGGGGAGCAGAAGAGACCCCAGCGTCACTAGTGATAGACGGGCAGAGTCCACCACGGATCATGAAATAGCGTCTAAGGCAAAGTTGAAAATGGGGAAAGTAGGGGATTCAGCCACGGATAACGCGGAGGGGAAGAAACAGGTGAAGGGCCAGACAATTATTACTTTCAGAGGACGCCCGCTACCAACCATACCTGCTAGTGCCGTCGCGTGCGCTGTGGCTTCGATTGACGTTGTGACGCCCCCACAACGCTACGATCCCAGTTTTGACTGGTATTACCAGCGCATCACGGGCCATGAGAGTGAGTACCAGCGAATTGCAGTTGCACGTTTCTTTGCCATGTCGAACGCCCAGACGATTTTGGCTCCACTTGACTTTCTTGTTCGGATGTGTACCGGCCGCCATCTAGAGCTCGCATGCCCCCCAGGCATCTCGGACATGATTGGTATCCCAAAGAACATCGCGGAGTGTCCACCGGCTATGCGCAAGCTGTTGTGTTACTACCTGGACGCGGATGGTCGTTGGGTGCTGTCGGATCTGCTTTGGGTGGACACCGTCACGACGCCGATGATGCCAAAACCCGTCTCTGCTTAATTCGATAGGAAACCAGAAAATATATATTTATATTTATTTATTTATTTTGACAAAGCCACACAATCATATGCCCGATTTTCTGCAACGAAGCGACTTGAAGCTCGTAAACAACAACGGAAGGAAAAAAAAAAAATGAATAAATAAATAAATAATTTTAAAAAAAGGATGAAACGACTTTTTATTTCCTGTTGTATTTGTTTTCATCCTTTTGTCAGTGTTATCAGGAGTTCTACCAGCAGCCACTCGTGGAGGAAGGAAGCAACGAAGACGAAAATGGACCCAACCGACCGGAGGGGCGGCAACGGTTGGAGCAGAGAGAGAGAGAGAGACAGGGCGAGTGTGTGAGTGTGAGGGTTGAGGGAAGGAAACAGAACGATTTCTCCCACAATACATACATATATTGATATTGGCATTGGTATATATATATATATACGTTTATTTATTTGTATGTTTATTTAGTTATTTACTGTGGGAATTTTCTTCTTGCCTTTTTCTTTCTTTTTTTTTTTTTTTTAAGTGAAGACCTTCCGCTCTCCCCTCGCACGATAACACTCACTCACTCGAGAAAAAACAAAAAGAAAAAAAAAAGGAGGAAAGAAAGAGATAAGAGAGAAATAAAACAACTCCATCCCCTTTTTTTTCCTTTTTTTTTTCCTTTTTTTGTTTTTTGTTTTGGTTTTTTCTTTGTGGTTTCCGTTTGGCAGTCTGCGTTGGACTCTGCACGCTCTGTTGTGGATGTTGTTGTTGTTGTATTCCTTTGCGAGATCACTTGTTGCATTTGCGGGTGCGTGATGTATTAATTGTTGTTGTTGTTGTTGTTTTTTTCTATTCTATTCGGGCATGTATCGTTGCGTTCATGCATCCTCTTATACATGCGCAAAAAGAGAGAGGAAGAGAGAGAGAAAGAAAGAAAGAAGGAAAGAGAGGGAAGGATAAATGAGATGCAGCAAAGAAATCCTCAGCGTCTTCAGCCCTTGTCTAACAATCCTGACGGTGCCCCGGGCTCATCACTGCAAGCCATAAAAGTGCAGCAAAAGGCTCGTGAAGAAGAAGAGAGGATTCGTCTGAAGCGTGTAAAGGGTGCCATTGTACTTGTTTTGCAATTTCTACTTGATCAAGGCTATACCGGGACGCTGCAGATGTTGCAGCAGGAAAGTCACGTTTCGCTGCATCATTTTTGCCCCGCAGACAACGTAGACCTCCTTAGCATCATTACAGAGTACGAGCAGTACTTTGAGTTTCGGTTTAATCGTCGAGTAAAGTTGTTTCGGGCTGTGGAAGGTGCAGAAGATGTTTGGAGGGAGGCTCAAAATGGGGAGTGCGTGGCGGTGCGGCGGCAGCGAACTGCTTCCCCTGGCGCGCCCGCAAAACGAGCGGCGGCCCACGCGAACAATAACAAGGTCAATTACGCCAATGTCGCAAATTTAGGGAACGCACCACCCGGTGGCCTACAGGAGACACAACGTCCTGGAGGACAGCCGCCCACAATTGCGCGGGGCTTGGCGCTTGCCCAGAAGCCACCCACGCCACTCTCCCCACAGCGTCTCCGAATTAAAAATCAGAAGAAATTAGCGGGAAATGGAGCCGGACTTATGGCTGTGGAAGGAATGCGTGTAGATGTTGTGCCAGATCCCCAGGGCAATAATAATGGGATTGAAGAAGATGAGGATATGTTTTTTGGACGTGCGTTGAAGCCACTTCCCAGTTTCCTTTCGGTGGAGCAGCAGGAATTGGCCATGACCATTCAGCGGGACATTTTGGACGTTAACCCCAATGTTCGTTGGAGTGCCATAGCAGAGTTAGATCAAGCGAAGCAGTTGCTAAAGGAGGCAGTAGTCATGCCTGTCAAGTACCCAGAGTTGTTTTCAGGTATACTACGACCCTGGAAAGGTATCCTTCTTTTTGGGCCACCTGGTACCGGCAAAACCCTTCTCGCGAAGGCTGTGGCAACAGAGTGCCGGACGACGTTTTTTAACATATCTGCTTCCAGCGTGGTCTCCAAGTGGCGTGGTGATAGTGAGAAGCTTGTCCGACTGTTGTTTGATCTTGCAGTGCATTATGCACCGAGCACCATATTTATTGACGAGATAGACTCCCTCATGTCTTCTCGCTCTGGTGAAGGCATGCATGAAGGGTCACGACGGATGAAAACAGAGCTTCTTATTCAGATGGACGGTCTCTCAAAGAGGCGAGGTGGAGATGTCGTCTTTGTGTTGGCAGCAAGCAATGTACCTTGGGACCTTGACACGGCGATGCTTCGTCGTTTGGAGAAACGCATTCTTGTGGGTTTGCCATCCCATAAAGCGCGTGCAGTGATGTTTCGACAAATTCTAACCCCTTCTGCTTCAGCACCAGATTTGGACTGGAACCTCTGCGCAGAACTCACGGAAGGCATGTCCGGTGCTGACATTGATGTGGTGTGTCGTGAAGCAGTGATGCGGCCGATACGTTTGTTGATTGAAAAACTGGAGCGTGCTGGCAGCCCGATGGAGTTGACAGGTGGGTTACTGCAGCGGCCGCAGGTAACAATTGAGGACATCATGGCAAGTGTGGCGTGCACACAAAGTAGTGTGCAAAGATCGGATTTGGAAAAGTTTGACGCGTGGGCAAAGAAGCACGGCTCGGGTGTTTCCTCCTAAATGCTCTGCACGTGTTTTTTGTTTGTTTGTTTGTTTGTTTTTGTATTTGCTGGTTGGTTTGTCTGTGTCGTGGTGACGCCACGGTGTGTCCAGTGCAGTGAGGAATGTGTGTGCTCTGCGGAAGGAGTACAAACACATACTTCCCCTGAAGACCACATGCAAAGAGGAGAAAATAACTTGGGGAAGAACCACAGAAAAAAAAAAAAGAACACGAGAGGACTGCATTGTTGATTGATGACTTCTTTTTTTTTTTTTTTTTTTTTTTTTTTTACTTGGCGTTTTGGCTGTTGGTCCCTTCTGTATTCTGTGCTTTCCAAAGGACTTTTCAACAGCCGGCAGAGGG